CGGCCGTCTGTGGACTCCCTGACAGTCAGAATGTCCTGATGATGCTGGATTTAAAATAACTCAGTAATTGACACCAGTGTCTTTTCACCATCCTGGGACCAGTACAACAAAAATGTCACATTTCCATCTTACACACGTCCAGAACTCTGTCCCCTAGAGGAGCTGAACAAGGAGGGGGTAAAACTGCAGCGACTCAGGGCTCTCCTGCTGACCCTGGGGCAGTTTGAAAAGTTTCAAAATAAAGTGACTGAGACGTGAGAATGTGACACGATGAGCAGTTTAACAGTTGATTATTAATATTTGATTTACATTCATGTGGACCCAGCCTGCAGCCAATATAACAATATATGTGTTTATATATATACATGAACACATACTGTAGGACTAGTATTCATATTTCATATATATATTTTAGAAGTTTAACTCAATATTAAATTTAACTCTCAGCGACATTTCAGGCAAACAGTTTTTTAGTATTTTATAAGCATAGTGAATTTATAAGCATGAATATTTAAAAATTCTACTGTTTTAAGATAATAATAACAACATTTTGAATCAGTGTTTGGAGCCAGGTGTTTTCATTAGATCGACCCACATGTTGATTTGCAGAACTTTGCACACACACACCCTCCCCCCCCCACACAAACCTTTAAATGTTCAAAGCCTATGGATGTGTGTGTGTGTGTGTGTGTATGTTTTCCCCTTGCGGGGGCTGTTACTGCACAGGATGATATTTACTCATCACTGCGACATTATTGAAGAGGGACAACAAACCTGTCACAGCGAACAAAGCTGCTGACAGTCAGTGACGAAACTGCTGAGGCGGCTCGGCCGCTAAAAGGACAGTAAGTTCACGTAGTTAGATATTAAAAAAAGTCTCCTCGTCCCATTTGACTCCTGTCTACACATATTTTTAAAACTGCTCCTGGGTGGAACAGTTTTTTTTTCCTTGCAACAAATAAAGGAAATGAAGGCGAACGCTACCAGACTTTTTGAAATCTACAATCTGTTCTCCCACACATTTCTCCCTCCATCATCAGGGCTGACAACCACGAGGTCACGTGACCTGTGTGAGGTTTGTGCTGCGGGGTTGTTAGCACAGGGTTTGGGACATGTCAAACACACCGTTTCATTTAGTTTTCAGCTCAGTGAATCAATAACTACAGTAAATAAAAGAACACAGTGGCTAAAATACAGCAAAACATCAATCTTCAGAGAAAGAACTGACTGAGACCGATGGCTGTGAAACAACAGGAGATAAGAGAGGGAAAACGGAGTCGTTCCACTGGCTGCTGCAGGGTTGGAACTCAACTTTTCAATTGAATAAAATTATAAAAACAAATGTTCAATGACAGCACACACACACACACACAAAGACACAGATATATTCAGATGCATATACTGCATATATATATATATATATGTATACATTTATATACATATACTTATACACACACATATACCCAATACGTATGTACCTAATTAAAGCTATAATAATAATAATTAAAGCTGTAATATATATATTTTTTCTTTTAAAAATCTTTATATCTTTATCTTCCTACCTTCACTTTTTTTTTTTTTAGAAAACGACTGACCTTCTTGGAACAACAGCTCCAAGAAACCTTTTCTCTGACTGCTTAACAAAGACAACGTTCATCAGCCTGACATCAATTTTTCATCAAGACTCTGCCGTCCTCATTTTTTCATTTTTCCTCACGCACACGTCTGTTGCCTCTCCGGCTCGTTCTCTCTCTCTCTCTCTCTCTCTCGCACTTTTACAGCCTTTTGCACACACATTTTCACTTTTCCCATTACAAACTGAAGGTGCACACAAATCCACACACACACACACACACACGTGTGTGTGCTGGCTGCCTGTGAGCGGTGAGTAATTTCCACGGCCAACAGGATTATCAGTGTAGGCTCAGGAAGATGGCAGGGAATCAACCTTCAAGTTAACGAAACATTTAGCCTAATTGGTCTTCATCTGTCACCTCAAACAGAGCTGCGGACTGTTTGAGGACGGAGGGGAGGCAAAGGAAAGAAGGGGGGAGGATGGGAGATTACTGACGGGACAGTGATGAAAACCGGTCGCAGGATAATGAGTCTGGTTGTCTTTTCATCCCCTCATCCTTCGTCTCGTTCTCTCTCGTTATTTGGAGTGACTAGCTGGTGAGTAGCTCCACAGTCTGCTGCTTATTAACAATGCAGAGTGGCTTTAGATGAGTTCATCACTCCCCCGTCCCCCTCATCCTCCTGCCAAGTCTGCATCCTCTCATCTCCACCTTATTTCCCTTCCCCTCTCAGTTTGAACTCCAACATTCTTCCCCCCTTTGTCTCTTTATCCCTGCCTCTTCCATCTGCTTATTCTTCCCCCGTCCTATTGGGGAAAGCAGTGAGAAGGAGATGTGAGGGGAGGACACAGAACGCGAGGAAGGAAACAGACGAGGCCTCAGAACCAAGGTGCACAGGAAAGAAATGCAATTTGGACTTCTCTCTCATTTTCCCCAACAATTCCTCTGCTTTCTGCAGCCCAACCCTCCACCTCCGCCTCTCTCTGTGCATTAGGACTGGAGCGGCAGACTGTTTGGAATCAATAAAGACGGTGTTTGGCAGACGAAAGTCATGGGGCGGGACGGTGACTCGCTAAACACTCATTTCACTTCACACAAATCACCGCCTGCACCTCGTCCACCGTCACACGTGACGGCTACATCCTGCAACAAACAATTAAAAAGTCATACAGATGTATGAACGTGATGTGGAACCTGCATCAATACACATGAGGTGTGTGGCGGGGGGGAGAGGAGGGGGGGGGGGGGGGGGGGGGGGTGGGGGTTTTGGGCAGGGGGGGGGAGACAAAAAAAAGGAAAGGTTTAAAAAAAAAGATATAAAGAGAAAAGCAGAGATGAGGTGAGGATTGATGATAGCTGTTAAAATTGAACAGGTGCTGCAGTTGCACCAAGAGAAAGTGAAGCTCTGAGGGGGAAAAAGTATAAAGTGCTGCTACAAGACCAACGCAGAGGGAGCTAACATCAAGCCACATAAATCCTGCATTCGAAAAAAAGCCAAACAAAAGCCCAACAGGCGAAAAATAACACTAACAGAGATGGGTTAAATCCCTTTGTGAAAAAGGTCACATGTACTGACAGACGGTAGAAAATTATCAGCAGAATCTGCAGCTCCCCCTGTTTTTAGAAGAGTAATTACAGCGAGTTTCAATCTCATCCTGTCGCGCCTCTGATTTACCGTGTTGGTTCACTCTCATTATATTTAGTCTCAGCCACAGGAGGCTCTAAAAACACACACACATACACACAGCATACACACACAACCTGCCCAGGACCAAGCAGCAGACAGACAGTGACCAGCTGGTGAACATACTGCAGCATTTAGCAGCTTAAGAGCCAAATATTTCCCTCAAGGGTTTAAGGACAAAAATAGAAGGATTATTGAACAACTGATGCTGCTGTGCCACATACCATTATGGTCCTAATAATGTGTCCAGAGCAGGGTTACAGGGAAAAATCAAAACACTTCATCACTTCATCATTGACCGTAAAAAAAGTACAATAAATTGTTACAGTCATTTTCCGTCCCCGTACAGTAAGTGCTCAGCTGCATGGATCTGCTGACTCCTCGACTCTGCACCTGATACGACCTGACTTGACTACATGTTACTTGACAAACGTGGAAAAAACCAACAGGTCAAGTATCGAGACATTTTCCCGTGTGAAGAGCTCCAGGTCGATTGTGCAGGACTACAGGACAAAATATATCTTCTAAAGTTATATTTTGAGTTATACTTCTGAAGAAAGATTTTCTGTGCAGCACAGTGTACCTAGTACGCAATGAAGACGGAAATATTTTACAAATATAAATAAATACAACGTATATCAGCATTGAGGTAGAAATGTAAACATCTAAACACTGAAGTAGGAATAGAAGAAAGTCAACATTAGAATAAATGTTACCAATAAATCAATCAACATCAGTGTCTTGGATCCGTAACAACACAACATCCCGATAACTTCACTGTATTAATCACCAGTTTTAGGTCTTTGGAACTCAGTTTGAGTTTTGGTTTTTCAGTTATTTTCTGATCCTGTTTAGTGGAAATGAATAAATGAATTGTCACAGATGGTTGTACAAGTGACAGACCAATAGGATCCTGTGTTCAGATGATACTAGTTTTTATTTTTATATGGTATGTTTTACCAGGGTTTGCCTTTTAGTTTGTTTTGAATTATGAATGAGATAAAAGTCACATGACTTACCCACAGACAATCACTTCCTGTCACCTCCAGCATCCAGATGGCTTTGTCCAGTTTGTTGACTGTCTCCAGCCTAGATTAAAACACACAGCAGTGTGAAGATGTCAACCTGGCATCTCACTGTAATTCTTATTGGATCAAACTTCCTTTAACATGTTTTTTGCGTGCTGCAAATATCGGCATTATAACAATTACAATCGACCTCATATCACAACTCAACCTAAGGTCACATTATAATGAATAATAATAGTAAAACATAACAACAATAATAAAAGATAATTATATGTATAATGTGGCCTGAAGCTTAATAAACCTTTACAGCTTCTATCATTCAACAAAGCCTGACATTTGTGGTAAATTGAAGTCACAGCTACAGGTAGTTCACAGGAATAGACGTAGTTCACTTTTCTCCAGTGAGTTCACGTTAACACGAAGTTATCAGTGAAAATGATAATTCATCAACTCACCTTTTTCAACTTTCTCCCGCTGCCTACAGGTTTTTGCATCCAAACTGTTATTGCAGCGCTGACAAGCAGCAATAACAGATGACGAGCCTGGAGCAGCACTTGAAGGCGTCACGTTGCATTCATTATTACTGGATGTCTTTTTTTTCTGTCGCTTTATATTTTGGCAGTTGTGATGCCAAGGGCTGAGTGATAATTCAATACTGTATTATTGCTCGGTGTACTTTGAGTGGAACTGTAATAATGCAAACAGATGTTGTTATCATTCCTACAGATCCTAACTTTAATTACAGATGATGAAACTTAGCAGCTGGACTCGTACATTCAAACGCACCGAGGGGTTTTTTATCTGACGTCCTTATTACCTGACATTTGTCGGAGTCTGACACTGTATTGGAAAAAACATTAACAATGAAAATATATCACATCGATATTGACACCGCAGCACTACCGCCAGTGCAGTGTGTTCTATATATATATACTCAATGCAAACTGTATGGAATACTGAGGTGGAGTTTCCTCTGACAAACTCTGATGTCAGCCGGAGCTGCGATGAGTAGAATTAGGAGTACATTTACACAGAAATACGCAAATACTGGTAGAAAAGTACTTGAGTAATTCTCTGTCACTTGCAGACTGGAGAAAACAAGGAAGGAAATATTCATGTCAAGTGTTCTCTTGTGGTGCCTCAGCTCACCGACTCATATTGCATCTTGAGAAATAATCAATTCCCAGATAGCACGGGCCTGTGCAATTCATTTTAATAAGCTTTTGTCATTGTCTGGCACACATGCATACGCTCACTTGCTCTCACTCACACACACACACTCACACAATAGAATTTCAGATTTCACAGAGTGCAAACTGCAGACTTATATCTAATGCAAATCAACCAGTGATCACAGAAACGAAATGTTTTCTCAACTCCTAACAATCTCACACACTGTGATTCTGACACCTTCTTTTTTTAAATCCTGAAACATTAAGAGAAGAAGAAGAAGAAGAAGAAGAAGCAGAGAGGGTAATCTAAATCTGCAGAGGAGGAACCCAGCTACTTTAACCTTCAAAAGGAGCAATCACACTGTATCTTCCAGCAGGAGAAGGTCTGGATGTGCTTCAACAATGAGGAGGAGGTGGAGGAGGTGGAGGAGGAATCGGGACGTTGAGCACAGCAGGCAGAGTGTAGCTACGGCAACACACTCTGACAGATCCACTCTCACAGTTTACTCCTGACGCTGCCATCGTCTGTGGCAGCAGAGAGACAGACACACAGAGAGGTAAAATAAGGAAAGGCATTTTCACTTGGTCATGCAGCGGGGAACCGCAGTCTGGCTATTGGAGCACCTGGGATCTGTTAGTGGGGATTAGTCATCGACAGTCCAACATGGCCGCAGACACGTTCAAAGCGTGCAGCCTGACACACACACACATCAAACAGACAGCCAGTGTGGGTTGTGCCAGGTGTTGGAGACACATAATGTTTATAGTGAAGACTTGGAGGTCTGCCTGCAGCAGCAGCTCTGTCACACAGACAGACAGTTCCGGTCCATCTACCAGCCAAGCACCGCTACTGCTCGCTCACTGCTGCTTCGAAATCTGCTGCACATTCATTAGAGGAGAAACACACCAACGGCCAACAAAGACTTTTTTTTTAAGTCTACACCTGCAGGTTTGAAAAATAACCTGTTTGCTCAGGTGACCCGGTGTGACACTGTCAAATCACTGATTTAAAGAGACCTTGACTTTCAAATGTTCCTGCTTGTGGGTGCGTGACATCAAACCCAGAGGAAGGAACTGTTCACTTTTCCCTTTGTTTTCCTCAAACAATGACAGAGGCCTCAGAGAAAAATAAGATAAGGTAGACACTGTTTTTAACCTTTGACTTGTTTCTTTTTTTTTCTTTTTACCAAATGTTGAGTTTTAAGGACAGAATTAAAGGCTGCCATCTAAAATTTTGGTAAAAATATATTCCAGTCAGAACTGGATGAGTCAACGTTTTTAGGCAGTTTATTACGAACAACAGCCCAAATATACCAGCTGTACCAAATAACAGAACTATAGGTGTTTTTTAACAACCTGATGCTAAGACAGGGCTGGTGTGTGACAGAGTGAAAAGGACAGGTTTAGCAGATAGCAGTGAGACCTGGTCCAATGTGGAGACAGTGGCTGCGTCTTAAAGACACGCAGGTGTCAGAGAGGCTGAGATTTACAGTGTGAGTGACCAGGACGGATATGATAAGAAATGAACAGTTTAGATAAACAGCTCAGGTTGAACACAGATAAAGTTAGAGGTGAGATTAAAACGGTTTGGACATGGAGTTGATAAAGTGGACAAAGGCTGGAGCTGCCAGGCCGGAGTCTGACGACACCTGGATGGAGCAGCTGAGTCTCATCATTATATCTTTAAAAAAACAAACAAAGTCCTTACGCATAATTTTGGTAACCTGTTAATGATCATCCAGGTGAGCCTAGAGCAGAGGATCATGATGCAAACAAACTGATTTGCTGTCGTACTCAGTCAAAGTCACTGCAGTATGAACACGTGTTGGTACAAATCAGACTTCAGAAATGAAAACAAAAAAAATCCCGATGTCACGCAGTGTTTTATTTTGAAAGCGACCACCTGTAAAAATATCTCCGAGCTGTAAGACGATTAAACACTGTGTGAGCAGGTGATAATTGCGCTCGTCTCTACAATTGACACCTTTAACATTAAACAAACTCACGTGATCGGCTGTGAATACGAGAATGCAGTGAATCAGTAATGAGTGACACTGATGGAGTTTTCAAAGGTCAATACCTGTTGTGAGGGGTTAATAGTCATCGTTTATAATTCTTCACAAATGTACTCAGCGAGTTTCCTCTGACAGTTGATAAAATGACACGTTTATCAAGTAAATTCGTGCCTGATATGAATCAGTTCTAACATTTTTGTAGAATACATGCGACATCTTGTATCTAATAATTCCAACTTCCATTTGTGTACCACTGCGCTAATACACAGTCAATACACACTGTGTTATTTACACACACTGTGGGAAAACCTTTTTGTTTTTGTTTCACCAAAGCATACTTAGGAACATGGTGTTCTCTTATTGACTCCTGATTTATTACTGTGAAATAATCAGAATAATAATCTGGAATAAACACAAACTGCCGTGTGACAACTCAAATTTCAAAAAAAAGGTAGTCCTAGTTTCTTTTGTACTTTTCGCCTGCCACAATAATATAGAGCGGGTTAAACCCTGTATTTGTGTCAGTTTGACAGGTTTGTGTTTGATCCTCTTTCTTCCGTGCTGTCTTCAGGAGTCACCTCAGTGAATCCTCTGTCTCCACCTCACTCCATCTCTCTCCACCACAGTTACACCAACCATCATGTCTTCCTTCACCATGTCCATGAATCTCCTCTATGGCTCCCCCTGTCCTGCGGCTGGCAGCTCTATCTCCAGAAAATAGACCATATTTATATTGTTTGTTTAAAGCCTCGAGCATTTTCTTTTTACAATTGATTTTCCCACAGTCTGCATTAAAAATATGTAACTGTCAAATTAGTCTCCGAAAAGATGGAAGAACGTGTCTGTTGTTTTCTTTACGGAGAGATAGAATCTGTTGTTATTTTGATAAAGATGACACTTTCCTGCCGGGGTTCTCGTCTCTAACTCCTCATGTGTCACATGATGTAGAAAAAAACCCATTCAACTCCTTTGTTTCCAGTTTGTTTCATCTTGTCCTGTGTGTTCGTTCGTATGAGAAACTGCATGCTGCTGTTATAATATACAGCATGCATATTAATGTAGTACTGAGTGATCTATCCAAACCCCGGGGGTTGGTTCTATGTTGCGTGGACTTTACTGCAACCCAGACCTCAACATCCTCCTCTCCTCATTCAATATTAAACACAACTACTTTGGTTCAAGTCCCATCACAGGACTCTTAGTTTAATAAGGTAAAGTTATAAAAATGTATGCAATCTCTTTACAAACCTAATTCATCTTCAACTGCCAGTCAGAATGTCTTATTGTTATTTTACAATAACCTTATTACTAACAGTGCAGTGACGCACAATATCACTGCCTAAAATCATGGATTTCTTACTGGATTAAAATATAGAATTTAAAATAGGATGGCAGACAGTAGAAAATGTTTTTGTGCCACTAACTTTAAGTTAAGTTTTATTTTTTTATTATTTCACATGTTAACATGTAGCCTGGTTCAAATGTTCAAACTCAGGTTAAAAACAACAACACAAACAACAGTGTAACAGTGTAAGTAAATGGAAGTGTTATTTTGCTGCATGGATGTTGGAAGTGTGAGACTCCACTTGGATTCAAATTAAAACGACCAATAAAATCAGATGCTGTTATAATGAAGACCTCTGTCTCAAAATGTTTGTGAGATGAGGGACGATTTTGATTTATGGCGGCGGTAAAAAGCAGACATTAGAGGTTATGGCTGCAGTTGTAATAGCGATGGTTAATTTGAATAATTGAGTGAATGACTGATCATGTTGCAGCCCAGACTGCACAGCGTTATAAGACTATCAATCACTGATGTAATCAAAACAAATGGGTAAAGTCATCACGTCACGGCTCCAGCCAATATTAAAATTTACGTATTTACCAAACTTCATTCACACGGATCACTCTGCGATTACGGCTCAGCAGCGTGTTGTCTCTGTGAGTCACAGCTGAAGGTGGTCCAGCTGTGACTCACAGAACCACTCTGAACAACTGACCACTTGACTTTTTGAAAAACTGAGGGAAAAAAAGAAATCCTTTCAGCAGCAACAGAAGCCGTCTTCAGGTCAACAGCGTATTTTTAAAATAACCAAGATGAACAATAAAACTCCAGCTGTTGACTTGATGTAAATGTCAGTTTTCTCCTCAGTGACAAGTCATTGACCTCTCACACTGACTGTGTGTTTTAAACAGATATTAGTTGATGTCACACACACACTGTGTGTTTGTTACCTGAACAAAAAGCTGCTGTCGCTGGTCAGGCTGAGGAGAAGGACACAGGAATGAAGGCAAAACACAAGTGACTGGCAGTGTTGTAAACACATTAAAGATAAATGAGAAACACTGAGTTAATTAATGAGCTGGAGGCTGGTGTACTATAGATTTTCAACCTGAGTCTGAGTTCACTGACTGCAGCTCATTCAGGTTCACATATTTAAACACAGCGTTCTTCAGTGTCACGGCTGTAAGATTACAGGCCCACGGTGAGACTGACACAGGAGGAGTCCTGAGATTCAAACAAATCGGATTTTAAGAATTTAAACAGCAAAGAAAATACTCGGTTTGTGTGAGTACTGTATGAAGTACACACACATGGTCTATCCGGCGGCCTTGGCTACTGGTGCATGAACAAACAGCAGTCAGTGGACGATTGTCTATCACTTCACTGTCTTTGTCTCCATTACTGCTGCTAGTTCAATTGAGCCAGAGCCCAGTTGTTAATACAGACACGGACAGTTTATATATTGTGTGTACGAGTGGGAGTAAGAAAGTGGGAGAGAGAGGGAGAGAGAGAGAGAGAGAGAGAACTCACCAGCAGGGAAGTAGAGTGGAAGATTCTGTAGATACAGCTCCTTGTCCGTGGGCAGAAACACACAGAAGATGACTCTGTCCATCTGAAACACACACACACACACACACACACACACACACAGGTTGTGATGAAGTGTGAGTACTTCACTCAGACAATCCTAATTCTTACCATAATTATAACAGGATCTTTCCCTCTGTCCTGACAGGGACACAGGTTCCAAACAACAGAGCATTTTAACAAAAAACTAAAGTCCTTAAAAGTATAGCTATACTGCGACAACACACACACACACACACACACACACACACGCAGTGACCTTTACCACAGGAAAACAACAGTGTAAAAGTGTGTGACATTGTCCTCCGTTGACATTAGGACGATGCTGCTCAGGACTATTACTGGACCATTATCTACTTACTATAATCATGCTGCATACAGTGTGTGTGTGTGTGTGTACGCCTGTGTTTATGTGTATGTGTGTGTTTGTGTGTGTACGCCTGTGTGTGAGGCTGTGAGAGACAAAGAGATAAAAAGGAGGGAGAATAAAACAAACAGAGTTCAGTGTAAATCCATGAGTACCTACTGATGTGGAGTGTGTGTCTGAACACAGTGGAACGTGCTCGGATGCAGGTGCAGTACTCTCTCTCTCTCTCTCTCTCTCTCTGTATGTATATATACTTGGCAATAGGTCTTCAGTTTCTCTCATTAGTGTTTGTGAAACAAACAGCAGTCCACACAGTCCTGGGCCGTAACACAAAATAATGTGATACACACACACACACACACAGTGTGAGAGTGTGAGTCGTGCACATAATAACTTTCAGATAATGTTGAGACACTGTTGGAGTGAGTGCAGTTACTTTAATGACAATAAAACATTTTTATGTTCTGTGCTCTCCTGCTCTCAGATCCTGCCTCTGTTGTCTGTTCTATTTACTCTGCGCAGTGGACTGTATATCTGGACCTGGACCACAACACACTACAGTACACCACGGTACACTACAGTACACTACAGTACACCACGGTACACTACAGTACACCATGGTACACTACAGTACACCACGGTACACTACAGTACACCATGGTACACTACAGTACACCACGGTACACTACAGTACACTACAGTACACCACGGTACACCACGGTACCCCACGGTACACCACGGTACACCACGCTACACCACGGTACACTACAGTACACCACGGTACACTACAGCGTTGGGCACTGACAGGAAAACTGATTCATCGATCTAAAACCACAGGCCAACGTCCCGTGGGAGGAGTCGAAAAGTCAAAAGTGTGTTTTTCCCGTGTGTGTGCCAACACACTCTTTACAGCTAATTGGCGTTTAGTGATATTTTAACAGCGACCGGTTGTCATAATGACTACATGAAATGGGCAGTAATAATACTCAAAAGGAACATTCACACGAGAACACAACCAAGCCGTCCATCATCGGCTACAGGTGCTGGGAAGGAAAATCACGAATTCTCTGATCAGTCGTTCCTGGAGGCTGAAACTGACACGAAGCCAAGAGATAAAAAAAGTGACTTCAGCTACGAGCTGATGGAACAACTGACTGCAGTGTTCTCTACATTAGCCCAAGGTACGAAAGTAAGGCATGGAGAGTTACAGGATCTTTGCTTGGTGAGTGTCGTACTCGACTTTACCTTTAACACCTCACAGTACCACACAGTACTGGACATCTGATGCTGTAGCTACAATACCACAAATAACCAAAACAGGAAATTAGGACCCTGCCTAAATATATTAATATTTTGCTCTTTTTTTGGACTGTGTGGTTCACTTTACAGCCAGAACCTTTCTGTATTTTCAGTCTTGTGTGGGAGCTTAAGACTCATCGCTTTTCCAGTCATTCCAGCGACTTACTCGCCTGCAGCTTGCGGTTTTTATCCTCAGCTTGTTGCTCTTACTGACTCTCACTTGCCTGGATATACAGAGGCTAAAAGAGGAAGATATGGAAATGTGTGGTAAGTAGCTACATCCCCTGGGCCCCAGTGGAGGAAATCTTTAACCTCCACACCATGTTGCATCCACTTGTGCCATTTCGCAGCATCCCTTCATTCAAATAAAGGGAAATGCAAAATGTCATCCAGTGCAGAGCTCACCCTGATATGATTAGAACACAGACTCTGGAGATGCCGAACATTTGGAGAACGCAACGTGCTCTTTGAGGAAACTGTCTGGTTTCTCATTGAAAAGCAGCATGAATCCTATAAATATAGTTTCTTTAGAAAGTCTGTCTGCAGCAGTATTTATTTATTTTTTGTTAAACTTTGTACTCACAGACATGCTGTGTGTGAGGTCTTATGTAAGCAAACGTCTCAGAGCCCATTAGCAGTCAGACAAATAACAACCCTGATGTCTTTATTTAATGTTCCAAAGAGTTTCAATAACCCAAAAATGTTTTAATGTTTGGAACTTTTTCTTAAACAACTGAATACAGGACAGTTATCTGTCCCATATGAACCAGGTTGACATCACATGTCCTCAGGACATCAGTCAACATGATGGAGCCAGAAATGTCAATCAGCCACCATTTCACTCCGCCCCTGAAGAAGGATGAGCCAATCACAGTGTCAGTGGTTTTGTTTTTATAAACTACCACACAGAAAGAAAGGAGCAATAAATAGACTGTGTTCAACACAACAAGGTGTTAATGTGATAGAAAACGTGGGCTGAAAGAAGGAATGCGCCGCCAAATCCCTGCTTCCATTCAACCCTGACTTCCGCAGCTAGAATTACACAGTGAAACTGTAATTGTTTTTATTTTGCCTTTTGACCAGCGTTCCCTCTTAAAAGAACCTGATAAACTGTCAGTGTTTACTCCTGCACCAGCCGGTGTGATGGTGCCAGCAAACAGCACAGCAAATGCATCGGTTGCTGTTTAGTATCTTCACTCTGGTCTCTCCATAAACTGAACGGAGACACTCCAAGGTGCTACTTGAACAAAGACGGATGGAACCCATAAAAGAAATGAGCTGGAGTGTGAGAAGTCATAAACAGAGGCGACAAGCATTCACTTCATCATTTATATACAACAGAGGGGACTCGACCAGACGGCGGTTTTGGAGCAGAGATCAACCACGCTGCTAATTTTTGTCCTACATTCTTAGTGCTCCAGTGGCCTTGTTCTCCTCTATAATTATAATAAAAGAAACACATGCAACTCCCACCAGTACTTCCCGTTAGGAGAGTGAGAAAGAGAAATTTCAAACGTTCCTCATAAAACTCCCAGAAGTTGTAAAATGTATGTTTTGATTAAAAAAGCTGTACATGTCTAAGTGGCAATGAGCAGAAAATGGAAGAACAGAGCCGCGATGCACAATTACTCCGAAAATGAAGCAGGTGAGTGAAGAATTTCAGCCGATTAAAATCTGCATGCATTAAAGTTAAATAAATCCAGACGAAAATACTCAGAGGTGTGAACCCAAGTTGAAATAGTTTTCATGCCTGGGAGCATCTCACTATAATAAGACGGTTGAAGACACGGAGGATGGATAAAATCCTCATGAGACACAGTCGTTGTTGCAACTGTTGTTTCAGATAAATCTGTTTGGTAGAAGATGACTCCATTACAAATAATCTAACTTTGAAACGCGTGTGTCGTGTTTTCTATTCCATTTTAATAGCATCTTTCTACAGCTTTGTTTGGACTGTATGGAAAAAAAACAAAAAATCATTAGGGTTTTATCACTGGGCTGGATGCAGCATGTTGGCATGTTGCCCCTCCTCGAATCCATTTTCCATCAATCTGCCTGCAATTTTCTATTTCATTTTCTACATTACAGCTCTCCAAGCCAGAACAGGCCCAACAAAACTCACTGTCATTTTTCTTTTTTTTAAATTGAAGTACTTTGATTTGAGGGTAAACTCAATTTCCTCTGGTAATCATTCTCACTTTATATCTATGCAAATGAACTTGGTCTCTCGACCTCATTTGTTTACAATTAAAAGTCCCCCCCTCCCCCCATAAAGAGGCTCACAGTGGAGCTATATCTGAGCAGAATGTGAATAAAAATCTCATTGATTCGGATTTTCCCTCCTATTTTTGCCTCTGAGGCTTGTTGACTGTTGTCTTCAACGGTAAATCTCCTAATGTTTAATGTTTGTTTACAGAGCGCCGTGCAGCTTATTGCGTCAGCCGACTGGCCTCGCTGCGGAGGCTCTGGAGACACCGACGCTAACAATAACAGCATCAACAGCCTCAGTGGGAGCCGCAGCAGCACGGTGGTTACAGGGAGTCAGAGGAGGAGTGGGAGGTGACCTCTGCTGCGACTCAGGAAGAAGGCTGGAGAGTTTGGAGCGTGGAAACGACTGATTGGAAAGTTTCTTCTTTGTACCAAACTCCCATCAGCCTCCTTCCTCCCCCGCCCCGCCCCGCCCCTCCCCTCCGGTCATCTATTCCATCATTTTGTCTTTTCTCGGCTCGCTGTTTCTCCGGAGAGAAAATGTGCGCATGTTTGTGTTCGGCGGGTTTAGTCCCGCAAGGAGCTAATTAAAACACAGACTTCGCCATGAGCACCGTGGCCAGGACTTGGATGTGTGTGTGAGTTTAAACACGTGTTTGTGTCCAGGCAGGTGTGTGTATGTGTGTGTGTATTTGTTTTCTCAATTCAGCCCTCTCCTCACTCTCTTCAGAAAACAAAAACAACAGCTGTGAAAGGAATAATACCTAGAGGAAAGAGTCGGAAAAATGCACATCTCTCACACACACATAAGTACACACACCTTGTCGTGATGTTCATCCAGAAACTCTCTTACAGTTGCCAGCGCCTCGTGTACAGCCTTTTCAGGTGGATATCCTGCACAAACACACAGACAACATCAAAATCTGACACACAATTTACAGAAAGTGATGCAGTGACAGATTTGCTCTCACTCTTATGCACCCGTATTTTTAGCCACCACAGATTTTCCCTTAAAATATTCTAACACTGTGTTTTCTCACTTCCTCTCCTGCTGAGTCGCCGAACCCAGGTGAGATACAAAGATAACACACTTGTTGGCTACGAACTGACAGATAGAGAAAAACTGAGTGTTTCTTCATTCAGCTGCTGAAAGTCAAATTCTACTCTCCTGGTGACACTGCAGCACAGCAGAAGTGATTATTCATCAGGTTTCCAAACTGTCCTGGTTAAACAAACACAGACGTGCGACTGTGAAGTATTTATGGAGAGTTCATCAGGAAGAGTTCAACAGGAGAACGAACCGACCAAACCGCCGGCTGCAGGTTTGTCCAGAGGTGTTCATGGTTAATTTGAAAAATCCAATCAAAACGTGAGGCATTTGGAATTCACAGTGGGAGCACAAACGGGCCAGAGATAATTTGTTTTGTTAATGATCTAGTGTTAATTTGATTTTAATTGATTTCTGATATTAAGAAGAAGAAAAGATGAAGCAGGAGCAGAGGAAGACGAAGACAACAAGACAAACACATTTGGGTCTCTGCTAGAAATCCATCCCAAGGCTGAAGGGACATTTTGGTCAGGATTTGAACCTGCAGTCCTCCAGTAACAAACCCCATCTACCATTTTTACACATGCCTCATTAAAACAACAAACTGACCAAACCGTCGGCTGCAGGTTTGTCCAGAGGTGTTGAAGGTTAATTTGAAGAATCAGGTCCCTTGAATCAGTGGGTGTCAGGGAGTCACACCAGGAGAAGGTCGGACTTGGGTCGACCTGGTGTGAGACCCAACATGTGCACCTGTTTGGTTTGGCCAGTATGTCAGGACCTGACCACCTGGAGAGTCAGACCTGCTCAGGAAGCTCTCCCCTGACGAACGGACGATATTCTGGTTCCAGAGTTTAAGTCAGGGGAAGGTTCAGCATGAACCCAGTACCAGAACAGTAGAATGTGAGGAGGAACATCACATCCAAACCGCAGTTCAAGGTACAGATCCACCTGAAAACTCAGTTCAAACAGTTCAAACCAAAAGAAAAACTCCTTCCTTTGCTTTTTCACACTGAGTCAAGATGACAGAAACAAGACACGGTTGGATTTCTTAAAAACATCTATTATTTAGGTGTTGTCTTAATCCATTCTTGGGAAAACGTTTTCTTTCTTTTCAAACAGAGTTGTTTATAGACGGTGAAATTAGATAACTTTGTAACTCTCCGACATCTTCTGCTGCAGTGGAACTCCAGAGGAATGAGAAAAGTCCACAGACACAGACAGCAGAGACAGGAACACGTGGATAACCAAGTCAACACTACAGTACTGTACCTGCTCACCACAGGTCTTCACTGGTATGAGGGGAAAGGAGTGATGTCAGCAATGTAGGAGTGGGAATTCCATTCCTGATTCTGATTCCATATCAGGCCTCAGTTTGTTTGCATTAACTCTCTGTTAATGACAAAGTTAAAACTGTTCCTCTACAGAAACTCAGCTGTTAGAGGTGTGTCTACAACCTGCTCCTACCAATATGATTATTGCTGTTTTACTGCTGTTACTGTCGTCTGTGTTTTTCCTTCTGTTCATTTGTTGTATTGTATCTTTGCGGTGCTCTGCAGATAGAGAAAACAACTCTTTTTTTCAAAGTGTATTTTTACCATGCCACCAAAATGACAAATCCAGATCTATCTGTCTGAAATAGCTCTGTAATTATCAACATTTGCAAACTGAGGCAGTCGTTATATCAGCCAGACTCCCTGAGTCATCGGAATGTAATTATACGTAGCGAAGGCTAAAGTATGAATGGTGCCAACATCAACACAGGATCGGAATCTGCTGTAGGTATTTCCCACTTTTTGTCGTCACACCTCTGCATTTGTCAGTAGAACCAGTTTCAGGTAAAGGCCTCCAGGACCTCATTCATCCTCCAGATCCAGTCTGATAGACTTTTCCGTGGCTCAAGAATCTCCAGACACTTTCAAGGACAGCTGTGTCCACGTCGCGGCCTCTAGATTACAGTCAATCTGACACTATCTACGGTCTAATCTACTCTAAGCTGCCAGTTTTTAATCCCAGGCCTTAATCAAAGAGCCACCTCTGGGCTGCTGGAGATAATGTAGTGTGGCTCAGTTCTCATATAAACAGAAAAAGAGTGATGCTGTGAACAAGCCCCTGTGTACAGCACATAAAGACAGATATACTGTTGGTGGATAAAAATAGATTTTCTCTTTGGCTAAAAAACACTTCAGTTGGAGTTTAAAGCCCTGAGCTACCAATAAACATTGGAATTAAAACGAGAGAAGACACACACACACACACACACGCACACACCCAAGCACATGCACACCCACACTGACCGTAGACTCCGGTGGAGATACAGGGAAAAGCCTGCAGAGAGAAGAGAGAAGACACAGAGGTTAGAGTCCTGATCACACACACAGTAACACATCTGCACACACACACACACACACAAACACAGGAATGACAATGTAGATTCCTAATGTCCCGATGAACGGGTTTTAATTTCCTCCCAGCTTCAATTGAAAACTTTGATGCCTGTATCACTGCGGTAACGGCAGCAATGATCAGGATTTATTACAGTTATTTTAACAGAGGGCAACGACCATCATCCAAATAATCACGTTTACTGAAAATAATTACAAATGGAGCTCAATGCGTAGCTAGCTCATTACCCACACACAGGGTTAGGAGTTTGAATCTACAGACACAGATGAGCACGGACAGCAGTTAGAGACACTGGTTGAAAAATAAAACTGACTCTGGCAGCTGGTTCTGGATGGAACTTACATAACAATTCTAATAACAAGACTTCTGAACACCCAGTTAAGAATGTCAAGGTTTTTGGTCCCATTCCAAAGTATTCTGTTCTTCCTTTATTGAACATAATGTCACTTTTAAATGTCATGATCCAATTAGGAGGGAAAACAGACGATTATCCAACTGGAGACCGGCTACAGCTGACATCCAATTAATACTGTTACTTTGCCGCCGCGCTCCTGCTGGATGTTGAACCTGTTATTCTCACACTCGGTCCTCTCACATCGAAGGTACAAAAGAGACTTAAAAATAATGATTTGAAAATGAAGAGTTTGGAGAATTCTGGTTATTTAGTTTAGAGAATTAGAATAAGATGGGACCAGTTGTCAGTACATTTACATATACAGTAAATATAAACATATATTCAGGTACTGTGACAAGAGGCAGAGGGATGAGTCTGTCCATTTCTTATTTACTGTCTATGGTTAAATGCAGTATCTGGTCAAATACAATAGTTGTCCTACAGGTCTTACACCAAGGTGGAGGACCTGGAGCCCATCTGTGTGATCACCATGCCACCTGACATTTAAGAGGTCATGTGACACCTCGTCCTTGACTGGCCACAAGGTGCTTAAGATGACCTTTTGAAATGATTGACATTTACAGTTAAAAGTCTCCAAGAAAGGAGGTACGTACTGGGAAAGATCTAAAGATAAGTTCCAGTTTTCTGGATCCTTCTGAGGTCATTATCAAGTCCGTCCAATCAATGACCATCAGAATGATGGCACATTCATGCTTTTGTGTTTAGTTGAGCTGCCAACAAACTTCAAAATAGGTCAAATCAGGCAGTTTCCTGCTGTCGAACACAGAAGTGTGAGCAGCTGCCAGGGTGAAGCCTGCACCTTCAGAACTGCTCATTTAACCTGATTATGGAGCTGCCGAGTCCGAGGGAGAGCTGACATGACTCATATGTTCCACGGGATGAAAGGTGAACGTATAAACAGATGGAAGTAAAGCAGCAGCCACAACAACAAAAAAAGGTTCTTGAAACAAACTATAATTTGGCTAAAGCCGACAGGTCTACATCCAAGCATCGCAACGATGAAATTATATTTTGTCCTACAGCTGCAGTTCTGCTCCAGCAAATGTCTGCAGTCAATTTGCAGCAACATCTGTCTTCATTGTCATTCAGTAATTTCCCAGTATCACAGTGGCGTCAGTGCCAAGTATGCAGCGTGTATTACGATAAACAGAAAATAAAAACAATGTGGAGAAAAATATGTGTTAAACATATATGGTTTAAATGCATAAGAATGTTTTCAATCAGTGTCTGTTTAAATAAAGAACAACTTAAATGTTCCGCCTCATCACCTAACTTCAATGATTCTTTTTCTTTACACCTGACGTGTCACATTATGTTGGTGTTTTTTGTTTTTTTTTCTCGACACCTCAGCCTGTTGTAGAATCTCCAGCCTGGTGTTTTTCACACAGCCTTCTTTCAAGTCAACACTCCAACCTGCAGCATCTATTTTCTGTCCTCCGTCTGTTTGAATGCTGCTGTCTTTGATAAAACCTCGATCTTCTCTTTCAGCCCACACTTCTTTTTTTCTGACTGAATTCTGCGCCTGCCTCTGGTTTCAGTTTTTTCCTGATTCAAACTCTCAACCTTTTGTTTTGATTTAACCATGATCAGTTAAGCTTTTTAAAATTATTATTGTTAGTTTTGTTTACATGAACAATAAAATCCTGTTGTTTTTTTTTCTTGTTGACTTTGAACAATATTAGAAGTCCATGAATCAACCTGGTTTCTCACCACAGATCGCGCAGCATTGTCAGCTGCTATCCTCAGGCTGTTGTAGTAGCACGCTCTCAGAGCTTTGCTCTCCTTCTCACCGACTCCTCCATGAGCAATCGGCCCCACGGTGTGGATCACATCTGCAAAAGTGAAAAGGATGAGAACGTGTAATGACTTTCAACAATCAGGTAGAATTACATGAGATATTTCTGGGGGCAGCGTAACATTTTGTTGGACCTTGGATGTGAAATGTGTCCTTTCCACAAAGACTTCAGCGCTTTGACTCACAGACTTATTAAAAGCCTCTTTAGCAGCAGACGCAGCGCGGGGTCTTCTCGGGTAAGTCTCGACAGGCTTTGTGCCTGGATTTGGAAAGTTCATCCCATTCTATCCGTCAGATCCTCACACGCGCTGTCACAGTGAATGGAACTGCCTGGACGACCCTCCCCTGGTCTCTGGTTCGTGTCCACTGGACCACTCAAGAAGAGGCTCCCAGTTATTCAGCCACACACGTGCTTGGTAAACAGCTGAAACCTGGACTTTCCATTTCATGTCTAGGTTTGTTATCAGCTTAAGGTGATAGGCAGCACATTAGCAGTGATCTCTGTCCAAACAGTTGAGTTTCAATCAGATCACACACACAGAGGATCTTCCCTTTAATCCTCGTGATCCTTTAAAATGCAGTGTGCAAACTGAAACATGTGCACAACACTTAGAGGGGCTCAGATGTGGACGACATTCTCAAAAGGAGGGGCGGGGGCTGGGGGGTGCACGACTTAAGATAATCTGCAGATTTGTTAACCGCTGTCAGGATTATGACTGGAGTACCTCACACAAATTCACTCTAAGATTTACACCTCAACCCCACGACAGCAGTAAGCTGCAGGGAGACTTCCATTAACTTTAAGCATCTCTTCCTTTAACGTTGGGTCGCAGCGGTGGTTTCGCTGTGACAGCTGTGGTCTCATTGATTTATGACAGACTCACTGTGTCCTGGTTTGAACTGAAGAGGGACAGATGGACGGACGGACAGAGGACAGACAGACAGACAGATACAAATGGGTTTTACCAGTTCTGGTTTCCATTGCTCAAGTGTGACGTCAGCTGAACGACGCTGCTAATTTTGGCCTTCAGACCCCAATGTACATCAGCAACAGTAAAAGAAGAATAGAATTGATATTGACTTTTTAACATCTGTTTAATTTTAATAATAGTTAATTTAAAAAAAAAATTAATAATCACAAAACCAGTAATTGAGTTGACCCTCACTTTTTCCAGGTTTCCTCCCAAAGTCCAACATGACCGACTGAAGAACTGTTCTTTCTAAAAGACCAAAGTTATTAGTTAGTTGATTCAACACGTTTGCTGTTAAAGGCCTATGAATCAAACTAGGTTTGATGCTACTGGTCAATAAGACTGATGAGTGATGTGTACGACTGTCAGGTTGTGTCACCACCATCCTCAGGACCATCAGAGCAGTTAACATAAAGAATTAACATTTAAAACCCTAAGAAAATGTTACTTGTCTCCTGCTCTGATCGCTGTCTCATCGTTATTCTTTTCTGTCCTCCAGTACAAACACTGCAGTTTCATACTCTACGGCTTTCTTAGGTTGACAACCATTTTTCCACTGGACTAAGTGACGGATTGATTTGTCGATTTCGACGCACAAGGAGAACGAGGACAAAAGGAAAAAAAGTGAAAAAGGAAGAGAGTGCTGGCGTTGATTTTAACCAACCTCTACAAGGCAACACTAACACACATTCTGATGAGTCCCAGCATGCTGCTCACAGCGTGAATCCCAAAGCTGCAATAAGACCTAGTTGGAACGCTGCCTGTGTTCACACAGAAAAATTCCACCGATACATTTAATCTGCTGTTAAAGCCTCTGTTCACAAACGGATTCCACGGTGTGAAAACCTCCGTAGAACAATCTGGACACATCAGAACCAGACGGATCCAAAGAACTGTCACACTTGAATTGTCACTGAAATTAAATGGTTCGACACCAACACGACTCATCACAGTTGTTTATGAGACTTTATCCACAGTGACATCATTTTTAGACAATGTAAGAATGTAGACAATGAAGAAAGTGAGAAGAAAAACATGTCGACATTTTACAATCAGGTCTTTGACAGTCTGTCGTCATTCACTTGGAAACAGTCCATATGGTGAACAGGAGACGTGGAATACGTTACAGATATGCGATCTGCTGTTGACTTTAAATTTATCTTCAGCTGTTAATAGAGTTGCAATAAAAACCCAGCAACAATTCTTCTGTCTCGGCTGCTGTAGCGCTCATCAGACTGTAATTTAAACCTGAGCCCTGCCAACTGTCTACACTGGGTTCATGACAGAACCGGAATTTATACAATACTTTTTATTTTAAGTATTTCATGAAAATAAATTTGCACAGATTAAACCCACCACACTCCCACACTTTTTAGAAATAGTTGATATATTAGGGCTGTCAAAATTAATATATGCATTTAGCTAATTACAGCGCTAAATAGCCAATAATTCCACCGTCCACACACTTACTGTGTCACACACTGTTATTTGTACACACTGCTGGGAAAAAGTTTTAGTTCACGGAAGCAACTGGAGCTTCATCTCATCATGTCAGACGGTCAACTTTCATCAGACCAACATCACCGAGTGAAGGAGAGTAAGGAAGTCCACAACGGACAGGAAGTCCACAACTGACAGGAAGTCCACAACTGACAGGAAGGCCACAAGTGACAGGAAGTCCACAACTGACAGGAAGTCCACAACTGACAGGAAGTCCACAACTGACAGGAAGTCTACATCTGACAGGTTGACTGACACAATCGTCAGAAGAATCGTTAAAGACTGTGGATTAAAATTGAGATTTGTCGAGATGCACAGTAATAAATAAAACCCTCTGACCTTAGGCAGCTAACGTTTGAGTTACAGCATGCATTTTTTCTTATATAATAATATAACAATATATATTAAGAATAATGATTTGAATTAGACACAAAAACATAAAAACAGGTGTGAAACACATTCATCAACTTCCTGTTATTTGTCTTTCTGTACCAGCAATATACAGAAGAAAAAAAAATAAAACTCATATCTGTACTATAGTCAGTAATGTGGATTGTGATGAATATAATGTGGGTAACTCTTGATCAAGGTTTGTAAAATCGCACTATAACCTGTGGCTCCGTTCCAGTAAAATACAGTATTAACCAGTGTTGACTTTACATAGAAGATTCCATCCGGTGAACAGAGAGGTCGATAGTGACCTACTGCAAACCTCTGAGCCCTGAGTGTAACACCAACAGCCGTCACATCAGCCTTTTACCCACACTCTGTCTGCTGTCGCCGCTGTCGTTCTACAGCTGAGGTAAGAAGACGTCTCCAGACTAACCAGAAGGCAAGACATGCCACGGATCCAAGAGCTGGTAAAAACTGTCAGGACTTGAGCTGGTTGTCTGCTGCAGTGATGCAACCAGCCTCTCTGTCATCTTCCTGCGCTGTCATTCTCACTGTTCCACTTCTCTGATGGCCGTTTCCAGAGCAGCAGCCTCTCATGATGTTTCAGTTTCAGTGAGCCCAAATCCAACCAAACTGACACATTTGAACATTTACTTGATCTGTTGACTTTGTGCATGGATTTCTCTTCAAACTGTTTCTACACTGATGCCTCTAATTAGTTTAAACAACTATTAACACACACACTCAGAATGAATCTGGCTTTTTAACAGATTCCTTACAACGTGCAACAGCAGATCTTTGACCTGAGCCACAAAGGGCCTCAGATCGCTCAGCTCAAAGATGTAACTGCTTTTGAAAATTGGGTCCCATTTTAAAAACATTTCAAAGAATTATTTAAAAAAACACAACATGAAAAGCAATCCTGCAGTCACCTCTAAAAGTTGGCAAAATGATGCCAGGGAACCACAATCAATGGAAATATTTTTTTTTTATATTTTTTCTGTTTAAAATACACAAGCAGTGAACCAGAGCTTTTTTTTTTTTTAAATAAGTCAGCGTGTATTTCAAATACCATCAAAGAGAAGAAAAGTCAAGGTTCTGGTGTCAGTGGTCAAACCAGTTATTAAACTATTTGTTCATTCCTTCTTTGCCAAATAGAATCTGTACTACACTTAGTCTGCCAGAAAATACGGGTTTGTTGATATATGTGTGTTGTATTCAGTACAGATATTACGAAACAATACTGACTTGAAGGAAGGAATATTGACCAGAAAAAAAAACTGCTCAGAGATCTGAGTGACTCACAAGACAAATGTGCAAACTCTCAGCGTAGGACAACAGATACATCAGGGGACTGAGGTCGAGTTGAAGGAAATAAGAAGATTCTGCTGAAAATACTGCACCGTATTTAGCCTCTATCAACTGTCAATTAATTTAAATAATAATTTATTTAGAATAATCATGATTGCCTTCCATAACAAAAAAACTTTTTTTCTGTACCGTGTCAAATCAGAAAGACAAATAACAGCAGGAAGCTGTGTTTGTGCTTTAAACTCAAATGGAATTTCTTAAAATAAAAAAGATAAATATGTTGAGGCTGTTCTGACTGTGTACTACAGGAACAACTGGTGGATGGACGGTTGAATTATTGGGTAAACAGCGCCGTTATGTTCTGCCGAAAAAAAATAATTAAACATTTTAATCGTATTAATTTCACAAATTAACAAATGAGGTTAACGTGTTAATTTAGACGGCTTTTATTTCTGAAAGTACGAAAATATCACTACTCAAGACAAAAACTGTGTTGTGCTGTGACCAGATGTTTGGCACCACAGGTTTACAGGAAACAAGAGGCATAGAGAAGAAACTTTTGTCTGAACAACAACGTGATCATCCATCACTGAGATGTTTGCAGAGTCCCTGAAGACTCTGAGAAATCACTTTGTCTGAGTGCACAAACCCACACACAAAGAATAATAAGAGTTCCAGTCGATGTCGAACGGACTTTGACATTGATATTAGACAATAATGATGTCCTGTTGCATGGATTATCAAATGCAAATTCCCCATTGTTTCTTTTCATAGAACAGAAACGGCTTCAATTCACTTGGCAAGTTATACAGAATATATTTGGACTGCAGAGAACTGTGGAATATTTAGAAAATATTTTTGG